ACGCGACGTGCGTCTGTCAGTAAAACAAACAAAGTTGTCTGTATTGACGGTACCCTCAGCAGTAGAAGAACAGCTGAAGCATATGTTTGGATTTCAATCTGCTCAAACAGGTCTCAGCGGTTCTGTCTGGATCCTTTGACTCCATCAGTCGGACTGTATTTGCTCTGTGCAGCACCTTTGGCCTTTTCATGTTCAACCTGACATGTGAGGCTCTTAGTTGTTGGGTTTTTTTCCAACATATATACCATGACAAGCTTCCTCATTCTTAAGCCTGAACCTACAGTCTAGTTCAGCATCATGTCAGTATCGGTTCATAAAACTGCGAATCCTTCCAGCTGTGCTATTAACAATCTGCAGAAGAAGAAAGTAGAGGAGCACTCAAAAACAAACGTGCAGATGATGTGTTGGAAACCTGAAGGGAGTGACGAAGGAGTTGAAGAAATTAGAAATCATGTTCTCAGAAGTTTGGAATTCTAGTTTTAATTCTAAAGCTGGAGTTTAACTGTTTAGAAAAGGCAGATTTAATGTGTTTCTGAGTGTTTTCATAGCGGGTCCTGAGATGCTGCCAGACAGGTCTGATGTGACCGGTCGATGTGGGAACATGTGAGACTTGATTTACTGAAAAGGGCACCACAAGGAGACTTTGGACACACCCAGGAGGACACATGAGAGCTGCAGCATTTCTGGCTTTACGTGAGTGTTCTGCCAGACTTTAGTAAATGATGCTTCAAAATGCCGCCACGCTGTCGCGACAGCAGCATGACGTGCACTTTACTGGACCTGACGCTGAGTCAGTGATGAGATGTGTGGAGTGAAAGCAGTTTAAATGCAGAGGAGACAACCGGCATCATCTGACTTCTGCTCCGGATGCTGCAGCCAAACCAATCAATTACAGGATTAAAGTGAAGCCGACACAACTGACATAATGAACTTACACAAGCGAGCAGGAAGGACCCACATTCACCGTCTGAGCAGAACTCACGCCAACGAAGCTTCTCTCAGGACGTGTGATTCTGCCGCCGTTCTGACGTCACATCTGGTCGTTACCTTACCAGGTTCAGGTGGACAGTGCTGTTAATCGTTTAGAGACACAGTCTGTTAGATTCCTCCACTACATAAGGTCATCGGATCGTCCAACCCGACATGACAATCAGTTTTTTATTTCCTAAACGAAAATATGTGACTGAAAAATCAACTTATTTTAAGAAAATGTGGAGAAATAATTGTTAAAAAATGCGCTAAAGGTCTGGCAGCAAGGGCAAAACTGTTCAACAGGGACAGTCTGTACCGCAAATACAGCATGTAGCTGTTGTTCATTTATTTATTGTACGTTAATGAAAAGCCAAACATAACTTAGAAATACTGTAATAACTGGCAGGCATGTAGTGGAGGCCGACAGATTCTCATGTCATGAATAACAGAAGCATGCTCTAGACAGCTTGGTATTTATTATTAAAAGTAGAAAGTCATTGCAGAGAAACAGCAGTAAAGTTACCACGAGTGGGAATATCAGGTCAGCTGGGATAGGCTCCGCCCCCCACGACCCTAGTGAGGGTTAAGGTGTAGAGATGATGGATGGACATACAAACAAACAGTGAGGTCATGAATCTCCACATGTGAGGAAGCAGACATGTTCTGCCTGCAGTAGAACTCACAGAATCACTCTGACGTCTTGTCCTGATGATGATTTTTTTCTTGCTGTAGATGGCTGAGGCCCACTGAGCCTTAAAGCCTGGGCAGAGCAAACATTCCTGCACTGAGTCACAGAGGTTTTGTTCTCCTCCGGTCGGCAGTGTGGCTGTAAAACCCGTCTGACTCACTCCTCATGTTTACCAGAACACAGCAGGGGGAGTTTCCCTCAACATGAGTCGAAGCTCACGTTCAGCTTCACATTCTGCAGGTTTTGGTCTGGTTGATCTCCACGACATGTTTACTTCTGGCTGCAGACGGACTGAGATGTTTCATCTCCAGGTGACGATGGAAACACCTCAGCAGGTCAGAGGTCGGGGCTTCACTCTGGACCAGGGTTACGTTCATGTTGCTGTGTCCTGCAGCCATCGGTCATCCTGAGAAAACTCCACCTGACCGGCCCACGCTCAGCTGGTTCTTCATCTGTGGTGCTGATCTGGTGTCAGGTTCTAGCAGAACCCAGATGTGTTCTTCCTCCTAAATGTCATGTGTCTATCTGCTGTTCTGATGAAGTTCTGAGGCTCAGAAATGATGGAAAAAGTCCATTAAAGTGATCAATCTGGACCCTCCTCTGTGGACTTGAAGGACCTGGAGCTCTGGAACATTCACAGTCTGAAGGTAGAACTCTGGTCAGTAGATGAAGGTTCTGCAGATACAGAACCGGATGTTCTGGGGAGACCTTTATGTAGTGTGTCCTGATGTTTGGGTGCACGCTGACTTGGATCCACATGAGAAGTTGTGTTTGCTGTGTGGTGAGGAACACCGTGCTGGAAGCTGCAGAACAAACTGGAACGTGGATGGAAAGTGCTGAGCTCATAATGAGAAGCTGCTGAACAGTGTGTGACTCATGAGTCCAGAATGAGGAGCAGAACCGCAGAGTGGAAACCCAGCGCTGTTCGGTTCTGCTGGGAGTGGGTTCATCTCGTCTGATGTTGGAGGACGTCAGGCTGGTCAGATGAACTTTATTAGTCCTTCACCAGACAAACAAGCAGCTGGGTGGAGTGCAGCAGTCTGCCTGTAGGCACCAAGGTCCGATCACACTGGACTGTTCTGTGGTACCTCTCCAGGCTGTTTCCTCCTGACGACATCCTGCTGGTGTTGGATCTACTCCCAGAAGAACGTCACTGTGGGTGAAAGCATTGGCTGAATGAAGCCTCCTCAGATCAGCTGATCGATCAGGTCAGGTGATTTTATTGATCTGGTTTGTGACGTGAGGAGCTGATGTTTCTGATTGAGGCCTAAGTCCTTCAGCGCAGGTTAAAGGCACAATGTGTTTATCTGTTCAGAAGCTCCACATGGATCAAACTCTCCATGCTGATCGTCACGTTGTACACGCCTGCTGTTTGGAGGCTTCTTCATGTGACGTCACACCGGCACCTGAAACGGTTCTGAGCTTTGTGCTGCTGACAGAGAACCTGTTCTTGTTCTGTAGCTGAACTGTTTCCACCCACCGGATTCCTTTTTGCAGCCAAACCCTCCTTCTCAGTGTTCCTCTGCTGCTGCTGCTCATTCTGCTGTGCACATGTGCAGCCGGCACGTCGTCCACACGTCGTCCACACGTCGTCCACACGTCGTCCACACGTCGTCCACACGTCGTCCACACGTCGTCCACACGTCGTCCACATGTCGTCCACACGTCGTCCACACGCTGCAGGTCCTTTAAGTACAGTTAAAGGACGACTCAGTGTGTCCAAGTGATGTTCTGTCAGATTTATCTTTGGGTCAGTCGTGTACATTTTGGTTTTCTTTCTCTCACTTTGCTGTAGTGCAGCTCTGGACGCACTCAGCTGTAGTAAAATCAGAAGCAGAGGTGATATTTGTAATATTTTAGAGCTTTTATAAACCTAGAAATAGACCATCATGATTCAGTTCATTTTACCAACAGATACGTTCAAAGTCTGAAAGTTTAAACCCAACCACGGTGTTTCTGTTTGTTTTTAATTTTTACAAATGTGTTATGTGGCAAAAAATCCTTCTGAATGTCCATCCTGTATGCTGGTAGAACAAGTACTAAATCAGTGCTGAAGATGTCTCTGATGTGACCACAGAAGCCCGACTGATTCCTGTAGTTTAGCTGCTAATAGCAATTCTGCATTTGCATGATGCACACTCGAGTCGGGTTCATTTACAGAAACAAACCGTCGCCTCTCCATCGACACACTAATCTGTGGATGTTTGTGTTTGTCATGAATACTAGAAAATACCTCGATGTGTCCTGATACTGGTGTCTGGACGGACCTCCTGATGAGACACTCGTGGTCATTTTATCTAGTCGGATATTAAAAATCTCGTCCTCGTGTCTCTTTCCCGTCTGATCCGCAGTCGTGGGACGTGTTTTTCCGGAACGCCAACGCCGGCGCTCCTCCCGGCGCCGCCTACCAGTCTCCTCTGGGTCTGTCGGCGGCGTCCAGCCTCGTCGCCCCTCAGCTCTCCTCTCTGGTCGGAGCTCAGCCCAACGTGGAGAAGCTGGTGGAGGATCATCTGGCCGTCCAGTCGCTCATCAGGGCCTACCAGGTACAGACACACACACAACAACGGACACACAACTACAACACAACCCAGAGTCTAGACACCTGAAGGGTCAGTTCACCAAATATGGACATTTTCTCCTCCACCAGTTTGTCCAGATGTGTCTAAACTCGCAGCCGTCTCTGGATATTTTGCTGCTTCCAGGTCAAGAACAAACTCCTTGATTTGGTGAAGTGACCCTTTAACAGTCAACCTCCAGGTTTAGTTTTGTGTATGAAGTCGTGCACGCTTCAATTTGATTTTAGCAAAAGTCAACAGGTTTAATTAGATTTAAGGTTTCTATTCAGGACATTAGTTACAATCAGAAACCTCACTTTCTTCATTGATTCTTTACATTTAGTATATCAGTGTACTTGTGTAATCTTTTTACATGAACCCTAAACAGGTTAATTACCTTTCAGGATGTGTTTTGTAGCACAAGGAGGTTCTCAGCCTTGGGTTCAGGACCCCACATGGGCTCATGTGATGAGCACATGCTGTTGGATGAGACTTCTTCCATCATTAAGTGACTGATTTGTGTTTGTTAGCTTTAAAAGTCATTCATCTTTTCCTGCAGCGAGGCTGTAAACAGGCTCCTCGTTAACTGAAACTCAAGTTTCTCAGTCACAAATACGTGAAATTAAGAGTTGATCAGAGCTGCTGCTGTTTTCTGATGGATTAAAAAACGTCCTCCAGCTCACTTCTGTCTTTATTAGCATGTGGACATGAAAGGAGATTAAAGATAATTTATCAGAGCAGCAACAAAGCTGATTTTAGTACATAAAAGGGTTTGAAATTTACCTTTTTTATCCCCCCCAAAAAACTGTTTTCTATATGAGTAAATGTCAGCCTTTGTATGGACACAATATATTGATTTTCTGTCATTTAATCGATAATAAGTTGGATTTAGTCAGTCAGATGAGTGAGTTTATTCTCCTGCAGCAGTCCTGTGTTCAGATATGATTCAGATAAATAAATGAAGTGAATTATGCTTTTACACATATTGAATTTCCCTTCTGGGATAAATAAAGTATTTTTCATTCATTTAAAGAAGTGAAGTTCACTAGAATTTATTAAATATAGAAACACTGAACCAGGAGGAAACGGCAGAGAGATGCTCATCAGACATAAAACAGTCACATTAACAGGGAAACAGCAGGTTTCTGTGTTTCTGTTCCACAGACTCATTGTTGTGTTGACGGTTGATGAAGGTCTTCACAGGTCAGGAAGGTTTGAACCAAACAGAAATAAAACATGTATTTCTTATTCTCTATGCTGACAAAACTTCCAGGCTTCTCATTTGGCTAAAAAATAAAGAAGTCAATAAATTCAAGCCTGAGTCGTGTCACAGCGACCGGCTTTCATGAATCCGTTTGTTTTGTGGAGTTAAATGACAGTTTTATCTCGTGTCGGTCTGCTGGGTTTCACATCAACGTGTCGCTAGCTTAGCTCTCCACCTCCACCCAAGAGTCAGAGTTCAGCAGAGTGATGCAGCAGCAGCATTTACTCATCCTGGAATATTCCGTTTAGCAATTTGGACAAAATTATGTAATTTCTGGTCAATTTAAAGTCGTTTTGGATAAATTTTGAGTCACGTTGGTCGAGGTCGTTTCATTTGGAGCTATTTTAAGTCTTCAGCCCTCCTTTAAACTGAAGGGACGTGTGACTGTGATCATAGCAGTCCACGGGAGGATCAGTGTGTATTCTAACACATGCTCAGACAGAACGTATCCTGGATGTCTTTTGCACAGCGGCTTTTTCCCCGTTAAAGTTTATCCTCTCCCCCCTGAACCTCCACAACAGAGGTGGAGGTTAACGTAGAGACACAACGTTGGTAGGAAACGCAGCAGAACGTCCTTCGACTGCCCTCCGTCAGTCCTAGTCCTAGTCCTAGTCCTAGTCCTAGTCCTAGTCCTGTAGACGGCTGACGAGTGCTTGTCGGCCTGCGGACCGGTGAAGACCTGCCTGTGATAACCTGTGTGTGCTGGGTGTATGTTTAGGTGATGGGCCATCACAATGCCCATCTGGACCCTCTGGGGATCAGCTGTGTGAATTTTGATGATGCTCCGGTCAATACCGGCTTCCAGGACGTTGGTGAGAACTTGACGACGAAACAACAAACCGACAGACTGTGGTGTTAATGCTGCTTCTCCCTCCCACCCTCCTCCTCCTCTTCCTCCTCTTCCTCCTCTTCCTCCTCTTCCTCCTCTTCCTCCTCCTCCTCCTCCTCGTTTCTCCTCTGATGTTTTTAACTCTCTAAACCTCCATCCTGCTTCTCATCTGCTGCACCTCACTCTTTCCGTTATTTCGTTGCACCTCCTCTCATCTCCACCCTCCACCCTCCATCTCCTCCTCCTCCTCCTGTCCTGGGTGGGTTCTGTTGTCCCTGTAGATCCGAGGGCACCATGTGGCCCAGTTGGACCCTCTCGGCATCATGGACGCCGATCTGGACTCGTGCGTCCCCACTGACATTATCACGTCCTCCGACAAGCTGGGTGAGGAGCAGAAACCACCTCCTACTCCTGGTCTGATCCAGCTCTCTCTGAACCTCTCCTCAGCCTCTTTGGGGATCTTTCTTGGGTCGGGGATGTTTCTGAACTCTATCTGGAACTGTTTCTTCTTGTGCTGGATAGTTAACCCGACACAGGATAACAGAAACGTTTCCTCTCCAGAAGCTAGTCTGTAGCGTTTGCGTGTTTCTGGAGGATCCTCTGACAGATAGAACATCTGACACCCTGTGAATGAGACGCAGTGAAACTAAAAGCTTCCAATAAGAACACAGACAGCTGCAGTGCTAGTGGGTCAGTCGGTGGTGCTTTGAGTCCAAACACGAGCTCTATGATGAGAAGTAAAGAAACAGTCAGATATCGCTCTGAAGAACGTGGTGGAGAACCCCCGCTGTTAGCTTTGTGCTAGCAGAGCATAGCAGCTCTGGATGCTTCTGTGGCATGAAGGGGAGCTGCTGCGGCTCTCGGACCTGTTCTGGTTGTTGCTTCTGCTTGGTGAGCTCTGAGCTGTGGTCCGGTCGTCTGTCTGGCTGCTCTCGTTGGCTGATGGCTGAGGTTTGTGGACCAGATTGGTTCTGTCTGATAGTGCAGAGCAAAGAGGTGGATGTGGTTTGTTACCATCGTCATCCACTGATTACCACTGAACACGTGAGGAGCTGTAGCTGACGAGGTGAAGAAGTCCAAACGTCTCTCCTAAAAGATGAAAAAGTTAGAAGTCCAAAAACCTCCTAAATCACATTTTTAGCTGAACTTTTTCACCACTAACGTCCAGGAAGTTTGCAGGGAGCTCTAGAAGTTCCTGCAGAAGAAAACGTTCCTTTAACTATTGCTAAACATGTGAGCAAGCAACAGTCAGGATTTATCCAAAAACATTCGGTCAGGGAGGTGAAGGTGAGGAGTCCAGATGTTTGGATCAGAAGCCAGACGGTTTCCAGGGAACTCAGGGTTCCTCTTCCTGTCTGCGTGTCCTTCTGTAAAGATCAGACAGACGGGTCAGTAGAGACGAGAGATTCAGTCATGATGTAGCCGGGTCGGAACACACAAGGTGACGGAGCACAAGTAGGTCATGATGAAAACAATAATTAGAGCATGTCAGGTTTAAAAATGAATGAATCAGCTCATAAACGAGCAGCTGGAAATAAAAGATAAACACATCTCATACCAGGAGGACCAGAATGTTCAGAGCAGGGTTTCTGGTTCTGGTGGGTCCAAGTTTTGCTCATTTAATTCGCATTATTTAACTTTATCAGAACTTCATCGGTATAGCAGATAGGCACGTGACATGGTAGGAGGAAGAACACATCTGGGTTCTGGTAGAACCTGATCCCAGATCAGTTCTACATCCATCCAGGTGTCTCAGTCTGAACACTGGACCTGGTTCTGTTCATGTCCTCTGTAGCATCAGTATTATGGGATGTCTCATAGTGGTACCAGTCTAATGTCCATGACACAGAGTCATAGGAACAATCACTGGGACCCTGGATGTGGTTCTGGTTCTGATCATTCACCAGAGGAAACTTTACAAAGTGCATTCTGGGTAAACTTTCCAGGCTCATATCAGCATGTGTGATGGTGGTTGGTCAGAACTAGTTCTAGACAACGGAAGGACCGTTTTACCTCCAGAACCTACCAGAACCATCTGTAGACAGGATCCACTCTGAGCAACAGAGATTCTCTGATATATTCATTCTAATGTAAACACTGAGATTCTGTTCAGGTGGTATTGCTGTTAAAACTACGATACATCCCATAATATTGTGTCACGTGTCTATCTGCTGCACTGATGAAGTTCTGAGGCTCAGAAATGATGGAAAAAGTCCATTAGCGTGATGAATCTGGACTCTCCTCTGTGGACTTCAGGACCTGGAGCTGTGAATGTGGCCCTGATGATTCTTCTGAGCCGCTCTGTCGGTTCTTCCTGCTACTAACGGCTCTGGGCTTCGTCTGCTGTCTGTCACTGAAGTAAATAAAACCCGGTTTGAGTCTCTGGCGGCTCTGCGTGACTGTCGGTGTTGTAACAACGGATTGTGAGACGTGTCTGAGGCTGGACTCTCTGGTGTGAGTTTGTAGTGAAACAACGTGAGTTTCAGGAGTTAGTCCGACCCCTGCTGCAGTGGTCGGGCGTGGTGTGGCTTCAGCATGGTGTTCAGAGCGTCTCCCTCTCCACCGTCCAGACCTCGCCGCTCAGAACCAAACCAACGAGCCGGCGGTGGAGACGCCGAGACGCCGGCCGGTGTTGTGCTCTGTGTTAGCGTAGACGGTTGTTGTGGTGTCAAGGGGTCGCGGGTCACTAACGGTGTCGGGTGTCTCTTCCCTCTGCTGCCCCCTGCTGGCGACCAGACGTGGCCGTGTTCAAGGAGAGGCTGAGAATCCTCACGGTAGGAGGTACGAGAATCAACGCTGCTGTGTCGGTGCTGTGAGCCAGTAGTTCCTGTTCGTCAGAGTGTTTCCTCTGCAGTAGTGAGCAGATCTACAGGAGCGCCGGATCACGGGTTCTGCTGTCTGCTGGGTCAGGCTCGGTCCAGAAGGCAGCAGCTCTGTCATCCTGAGCTCCTGCAGGATGAGGAGATGTTCATGTGGTCCAACGTCTTCATGTCCGTCCTGTTTCTACAGAAGTTCAGAAGTTTTCTTTGAGCCCAGAAACTCTCAGAGGACACCGACAGTCCTCGGCTTCTCTTCCTGCTGCAAACAAACGTATTTATTGGCAGCAGGATTTCAGAAACTCACGTCTTTACAAATATCAGATTGATTTTCTGAAGTTTTTTTACGTTTTACGCAAGAGCAACCTAAATGACCGCTATAATGTAGACGTAACCAACCAAATTCACCTTTCGCTTCCTAAATTTTTTCCAAAGTTTTCTTTAAAGTCAGTTGACACAGAAACAGAAACACAGCTACTAAAGCCACTGATCCGGTCTGAGTCATTTCATAGTTACTATCTGCTGATACCATTATTTGAGATAAAACACACCGACTGCAGTACCTGGTTGTTCCACCAGGTGGCGCCTCTCCCTGTTTAATCCTGTAGAGACCAAAGGAGGCGTCACTCAGACTACAGTTCATGGTGGCAACAGAGAGCATTGTGGGAGTTTAGCAACACCGGACCATGACAGAGACTCTGAGGAGGTTCATGACCTCCAACCAGAGCTCAGGAGTTACCATGATGATGTTCATGAAGCACATGAGTGACTCCATCTCAGATCAGCGGGGTCCTTCTGCTCAACCATCTCTGGTTTACTTAAAACTTCCAACATAAATAATATTTAAAACGGTAAAAACTACTTGTCGACTCACTTTCAGCAGGTTTCACACATTGAAATCTGAGACTTTGAAACATCTCAGGAACTATTAAAGTTATTTGTCCCATCAGTGATTCAGGAAGAAAACCTACTGGGTCGTCTGGGAATGTTTAACAAAATGTTATCCGTTAAAGTGTTTGATATGTCTTTATAAAGTCTATGTGATGTATGAAACAAATCATCCAAACCAGAGACAGTCAGGCAGAAAATGTTCTTAAATTTGATCAGTTTGAGATAGAATGACCCGTATTTAACACCCTCAAATGTCCAGCGCGCTCGACTTGTGCTACAACTGAATCGATTATTAACTAATAGTGCTGCGTCCAAACTAAAGCCAAACCCAGGAGTTTTCAAACCGACACCAGGTCAGCAGCATTTCCACAAGTCTCCGTTTAGTCGTCCAGGAGCTCTGTGGACAGTAAACACGGCTGAGCTTCTGGGCGTGGATGTAGATCTGTGCAGACGACACCAGAAGCAACGCAAACCTCAGAAAACCATGAAAGAAGAAACTATTTCTGTCGGTCTAACATCAGCGTTCGTCCTGTCTTTGCTCCTGTGGAAACTGGGCGGTCGTCTGAGGCTCCAGCTTGAACCACAGTGAAGTCTCCCCATAAGAGCTCAGCACACAGAAAACACTCAGAGGAAACCAAATGAGCTTCATTCTCCGAGTGTCTCCTGTGTTTCTGCTCGCTGTAGCTAGCTCTGTTAGCTCTGTTAGCTGGTAGCTGCTGCTGGACAGCTGGTAGAGACCCTGGTAGACCAGTTAAATCCTCACTGCGAGTCTTTAAGGGGACATCAGAAGATTATTTTTAAATGTGATCACAGGTTGGTTCAACGGGTTCAGCAGGTCTGGAAGCGCCTCTCTTTTTATTTCCTAAACGTTAAGTTGCTTCTGAGCTGCAGTGAGTTCTTTATATTAATATGTCTGTGCTTTCAAAAGGGCAGAGAATCATCACCTGGTGCTACACTCATCCTGCTGTTTGTTAGTAGATTAGACATCAAAACGAGCATTTATCGAGAGTCATTCTGACGTTAAATCACAGGTTCAGGATCTTCTGAGACGTGTCATAAAACAGATCTGCTGGTTCCGTATGTACGTGGGAACGGGCCTCGCTGGAGCGCTTCCTGCTTTCCACCCCGACTCTGAAGCTTTTCCCTCACAACACAAACACCGTCTCATAAATTAGAGATTATACAGATTCCAAACCTCAGCCGAGGCTCGTAAGAAACTAAATCAAGTCTCAAGAAGTTTGACTTTGTGCCGCAAGTTCCAGATAATTACTCACAATATTACAGAACCAATCCAATGTGGAGCTAAATAACAGAACACAGGGTGTGTTCAGGTCTGCTATGTGAGGGACCAGATGTTCATGTCAGTAACCCACCAGATGTCAGCCTGCATATGTTGGACAATTAGCAGGATTAGTTTGACTGATGTGGACAATACCAGGGTAGTTCTGGGGAATACTGAGGATTCAAAATGCATTTCTGTGGTATGGATCAAGCTTCAGTGGCCCTTCAGAGTCAGGAGAGCTCAGTGTTGTTGGTGTGAAGGTGGAGATGTTTAATGCCATTGACCTGCTTCGACGTCTCAGTAACGAGCACAAAAGCAAATTACACACTGGATTGTGGATTTGCCCGTTAAACACAAACCACATTCAGTCTTCTGAGTCAAGAGGAGGCAGCAGCAGATCTGGAGGACGACAAGAGACTAAATCTCAGAAGGTTTACGCCAAATTATTTTCAAAAATAGTCAAAACACTAATTAGCTTCAATGTAAAGGCCGATTAGCTGCTGCCGTCGTCCTCCTGACTCCTGGACGGAGTCCTGCAGGGAACTAGCTTTTGCACTAAAGAAACTGTAAATACAAACCACGTAGACTTGCTTCAGAATCAGTATGAAGAGGAGGAATAGCTACCGCAAGAAAAAAACCCTAAATCTGCCCTTTAATGTCAGACTGGGCTTTAGAAATCTGCACATTTTGTGGTCTGATTTTACTGCATCTGTAAAGCTGCAACATCCAACTGCAGGTTTTATAACGATGAGCAGCTAGAGCTACTGATCCTCTGATTCTTGGTCCTTGATTAAAGCACGCAGCAGTTAAAACGGTACCTGGTGCATTTTTAAGAACTTTATTTAGGCAGGAACAGGTTGTGGACAGAAAGACTGAAAAGTAAAGGAGGTGGACAAACAATCACATTCCACACTGTGACGATGCATTTAAAGATAAGTTCTCATGTCCCTGCTCTGAGTTTGATCTGCTTCACAGGCTGAACTGTTCTGAACCTCCCGCTGATGTTCTCTACAACGAATCCTCCTGAGGCTCCGGTTCAGAGGTAAACTACAGCAAACACTGCTACGTGGTGCAACGAGAACATTCTGAGACCGTTCCTGTGAAAGAGGAAACAGCGTCCCTGATTTGGGCTTGCTTTCCCTCCCTGTGTGAAGTGATGCTCTGCTCTCAGAGCTCCTGCAACACTTCACTGGAGTCCTGTTCTGTCAGCATATAGAGGTCCACCTGTGATAAGCTGAATCTCCTAGATGGAGACCCTCATCTCGGGTTTTCACTTTGAGGAAGAAGAAGGCAGAGGGAGATAAATCTGTGGAGTAGTGGAGAGTTACGATTGTGTTGTTGTGACCAGAAAACACTGTAAATCCAGTGTTCTATGAAGAGTACATGAGGGTTTCCGTGATCTTAATCTGACTCACTAGATTCACACTGCAGGTGGAGGTCTGCCATCGTACTATCTGTCACCGTTCTCTAAATCCAACCTCCAAGCAGCAGCCTACGAACTTGAAATGTAAAGTTTTAATCAGTAACTCGGACCATGCAGTGATGCAGGTCTGCTTGTTTTCTTGCTGAATTATCCCGTTTGATCACAGTTCTCGCCTCACTACATGCAAATGTTCCACCAGAACAACTCCCCCATCACTAGTTTGCAGGGACGCTGGGCTGAGCACCGCCCAAGATGATTGTGATTGGTTTAAACAAATGGACATGACATTAATGGAATGATAATTAGGTGCAGCATTAATGATTAACCATTAATCGATTAATTGCCATAAACAAGTTAACTGATGGCAGAAGAAGAAGGTCGTGATGTCAGTAAAGGTATCGTAGACCCGCTGTAGTACCTGGTTGTTCCACCAGGTGGCGCTTCTCACTGTTTAAACTCGTGTGTTTCTGTCCTGACGCTCTCTCTCAGGTCTTGGAGATTGGGAGAGTCTGTGTTTGGCATAAATGACAAAACAATCACAGAAGAAGCAAAAGGACTCTAAATTACCCAAGAGAGATGCAAAATGACCCAAAATGGAGACACACACGATTACAAAGAGACAAACACCCATAAGATCGACACTTAATATAATTATACACACGGAAACAAACACAAAGCAACTTAAGCCTACTAAATAGAGACTCTAAATCTTTATAGAGACACAAAACCAACAAGAAACACCTGAAATTGATTATAGGGAGACAAGACGACGACTAAGAGAAACTTGCAGTTTGGGTTTTGGGTCGCAGACAAACGTCTCCAAATGCACGACTATGATGCGCTCCATGCACCACGAACAGTCCCAGAACTTGTCGATCGCACCTCGTGTTGGGTTTGCTGGTTCGTTTTCAGCCTCGGCGATAAAAAGATGAACAAAACCAGGAAATGTTCAGCCGGTGGGGTTTAGCGCCGTCAGCCTGTGTTAGCTCCTGATGCTGCTGTCTGTACTTGTTCCTCTCTGTGGTTTTCTGTCTCTTTTCTCCCCTTTTGTCCTTCAGTGTGTTGTTAAAGTGAGGAGATCTGAGCAGCACTAACCCGGCAGAGCAGGAGGATGCTGCTCCTCTTTACTCCATGAATCTGCTGCTGCTGCTGCTGTTAGGTGGAGCTCAGTCTGCAGCTGCTTCTGTCTCTGTGTTGAACAGAAGGCTTGATGTCTGGGAATAAGAGGACAGGACAACACTCTACATTTAGCTTATACCACACAAAGTCGAGAGCAGGAAGTAAACACTACACTTACAGGTGTGAGAGTCGCCACAAGCTGTAATGTTCACAACAGAGTTTCATCATCTTTCAAACTCACAAAGGAAGACACACTACATGATGACAACGAGGCACAAGCTGATGACAGAGAGACACAACATGACTGTAAAGAAATGCCAAACAACCACAGAAACAAACAGAACCGTCACAGAGACACAAAACGACCACAAGGAGGCAGCAGTGAGTGTGTTTCACTGAGTGTGTACATGTCGACTGTGTTTCAGAGTCAGACCAACACTTTATTGCGCGCTGCAGTCGGAGCGGTAAAGTTTGACGCTGTGCAGACTCTGATTGGCTGAGTTTTCTGAGCTGTGTGGGCTCTCTGATTGGCTGAGTTTTCTGAGCTGTGCGGGCTCTCTGATTGGCTGAGTTTTCTGAGCTGTGCGGGCTCTCTGATTGGCTGAGTTTTCTGAGCTGTGCGGGCTCTCTGATTGGCTGAGTCAGCCCACCTGCAGGTTGTGTGTTTTCAGGCAGCGTCTGTGTTGTTTGAAGGGTTTTGGTTTGCTGTCTTGTGTATTCTGAGTCTGTGTTTCGGCCGAGGCGGCAGAAGGCTGCTCCTCCTCTCTCGTCTGTCCTCCCTCCTCCATGACCTCCTCCCCTAACGCCCCATAATCAGGTTGAAGTTTGAAATAACGCCGCCATGCCGCCATGTTCAGTCATCGCTGCTGCTCATCGCTACTCTCTGTGGTGAAGTGGAGCTTTCTGTGTCTGTTTGGTTCAGGTTTGAAACAAGCCAACGTGATCTCGGCTTGTTGACACTTCACCTTCATCCACACACAGATCATCCTGTCACCACAGGACCAGTCTCATTCAGTGGCAGCGGTACAGACAACAGACAGGTTTCACTGTTTAAACGCACTCCTTGATTCATGTCACTGTTTCCAGATGCAGGATGGTAGCTCCACAGAGGCTGTCAAAGACATGAAAACCATACCAACCATAGAGGACGCAAAAC